CTAAGCAAAAACCCCCCAAAAAAAAAAAAAAAAAAAGTGGGTCCCTATACAATGCGCTTCAGTGCTAATGTGTATTCCCTATAGTAAGTGCTGCTTTTTAATACCTCATTAAATTTTTTGCTGCTTATTTTTGAGTTATATTATCTTTAGGGATTATTTTATTTAACTTTATTTTTATTTGACTAGAGAGGGACAGAGTGTGAGAGAGAGAGAAAGAAAGAGAGAAAGAAAGTGAGAAAACAAGCCGTCAGGTCCAGGACTCGAACCGTGGTCGGCCATGTGGGAGTCCAGCACCCTTAACCACCATGCCACTGCTGGCTCCTGGAGTTATATTTTCATAGCAAAGGTATGGTGCCTTTCCCTGTGGAAAACACCGGGGAAGTATAACCCATCTTTCTGGAAACTTACTTCGAAACCACATCCTCCGCACCATGCACCTGCTCCCCATCTCGACCCCCAGCAGGCCTGCTAAGAAGCCCGAGACCGCAGAGTGGGGACCCCTCGGCCCCCAGGCCCCACATCTGAATGGGCAGCGGTAGGCAGGACCTTCCACCCCATCGAGAGCACTCACGGGCAGCCTCTGGGAAGGCACGCTGGGCCCTCCCCACCTCCACCCCGGGGAACCCCGGGGCCATCCGCAGCCAGTGGAGGGATGGGCCTGGCTTGCCACTGAGCTCCGTCTCTGGTGTGAGCTCGAGGTGAGGTGGAAACCGCTGGAGGTGAACATCCCGGGAGAACCTGGGTGTGAGGTGGGACTCTGGGGAGAGGGCTGCAGGCCTGAAACGGAAATGAGCAGTGTGTCTGAGTGCCTGGGCTTTAACCAGTGCACTTCCCCGACGTTTGACGTGTCCATGGCCTCGAGATCTGAAATCCGGCCACGTAAGAACAGGTGGACGGGGGAAGGTCGGGGCCAGGAGCTGAGCTGTGCTGGCCCTCGTCTGACCCTCGGCGCTCCTGGAGAGGTGTGCTCCCTGAACAAGCAGAGGGCCAGAGTGAGGAAGCAGGCGGTCCTGGAGTGGGGGCCAGAGCCCTGAGTCCACACCAAGTCCCTCAGTCACCCCCACCCGCAGGACCCTCACTCCGGCTAGCGCCAGCTTTCTCCCGGGACCTGTCCTCAGCCCTGACGCACATTGTGTGTCCGGGGTTGTGGGACACCGCCGTCCTTCTGCGATGGGGTGGCGCTGACTGGGAACAATCGGGTGCAGCTCAGAGCCAGTCTGGGGTGAGAAGGGTGACCTCACCAGCAAATGCTCTTTCGGGGTTACTGGGGAGAGCTGGGAGATCGTGAGCCTGAACTTCCGGGCCCAGGGGATACTTCCAGAAGGGTCCTCTTCTGGGGACTGCTTTGAGGCAGTTCCATGGGGTGCTGCTGTTCTCATTCATCCTGGCATGTTCTACCTTCAGTCTTAGGGGCAGGAGACACACAATCCTAGGTTTGGAATTCTTTTTCTTTTTTGGAGAGGTTTTTGCTATAGGGCGCATGCGCTCGCCAGACAGACAAGAGAGAGACAGAGAGACAGAAAGTGAGAAATCACCCCCCCCCCCAGGGGGGATGACCATGCTGCGATCCCTTCTCCTCCATTCTCCTCTCGGAATCTTGGGCACGCACGCACACGCGCCCAGTGTGTTTTAAGCCACCGGATCCGGGACGCGAACCACAGTCCATTACGTGGGAGCCCAGCCACATAGCCATTACGCTAACTGCTGGTTCCCAATCCTAGGTTTAAATTCTCCAGCTAAATGGCCTCCAAGATCGTAGCCTTCTGGGCCGGTTTCTTCATCTGTGAGACGGAGATCATGAGACCCCTCATAACCCCAGACTCGGAATCCTCCTCGTGGAGCGGGCTGAGGGTGGAGGAGACGGGACGTGAAGCTCTCTGCTCGGTGCCTGGCACTTGTGAAGTGCTCGGCAAATGTTCCCCTCCTCCTCCAGTCCCGAGGCTGCCCCACTCACTCAGGACCCCCTCTGCTGTCCCTCCCGCCCTGACCTCAGCTTCATCATCGGTGATGCAGTGAGGACCCCCCTTCCTCAGTTCCTTTGAGGATGGTGTGGGAGAGGCCTGGCGGGCCGTTTCCCAAGTCTGACAGATCGTGTCATCCTGCAGGCGGTGAGGCTGGAGGAGCAGCGGGCCCTGTGGAGGTCCTCGGTCCCCCGGAGGACAGGGGCTAAGCACTGGCTGGGAGGCGCTGCCAGGGCACTGGTGTCTGCTGTGCAGAGCGCCCTCCGGATGGAGCTCTTCTGAGCAGCGCGGCTTTGCTGGTTTAGCTCTTCCATGGACAAGGCAGGAACAGCATGTGCTGCCCCGTCTCATTAAACGGCACATGCGACGCCCTGCAGAACCCGCGTCTGGCTTTGCTCCGGCGGCTCAGTTACTCTGCCCTGCCGGGAGACCCGCACCGTGCCAGCTCCGAGGACACAGCTGGGAAGGACAGGGTCTCCCCAACAGGGCGTTGAGTTCATGAAGCAACTTTGGAGCGCAACTTGGTCACTATGAACATGAAGGCAGGGTGACGACGTTGGCAGTGCCACACCAGGCACGGTGCCGTGGAGGCAGGTACAGATCCCCTGTGAGCGCCTCCTCAAACTGCACAGGCAGCCATGCGACGCGGCCACCCCTGCCCTGTGGGTGCCCACGATCAGGGCGTGTGCACCGAGCAATGCTTGGAAGTCTCCGCGGGGACCAGGGCTTCCTTCCCTGTTTCTTTGGTTGCTGATTCTGGCTAAAGACTAATTTTTTTTTTTTTTTTTGAGGTTTTTGCCACAGGGCACGTGCGCTCACCAGAGGGACAGAAAGCTAGAAATCATGTCCCAGGGGGGATGGCCACACCGCAATCCTTTCTCCTCCATTCTCCTCTCGGGATCTTGGGCATGCATGACATGTGCCTGATATGAGTTTAAACTGCTGGGTCTGGGACTCGAACTGTGGTCGACTACGTGGGAGTCCAGCGATGTAGCCATTACGTCATCAGCTGGTCCCCAAAAGCCCAATTTTAGGGCACACCTAGCACTCCTGGCAGGCCAGGGTGTCTTCAGCTTTCACTCCGCTGGCTTGGCGCCCTCTAGCTGCTCCCCTGAGGACTGCAGGATGAGTGAAGGGAAGGGGGTGACCCTGAGTATCACTACACGCCCAGTGCGCGCCTCCCTTCCCGCGTGCTGTGCCCTGGGGAGATGGCCACCACCTCGCTGGCCAGTCTGCTCGAGCTCACCTGGGGTGCACAGCCGTTCCTAGCACTGCCCTCCAGGGCCGGCCTAGCACGGGTCATGGGAACCACGGCCTGCAACACGTGGGTCCTGCTGCTTGAGGGTCCCATGATGCCAGCTCTGGGTAGGGACGTGCATGCCAGCAGCGCTCAGCGACACCCATACCGGGAAGTGACGCTATCAGCAGAGCCTGTGCTGACGTGTCCCAGACCCCAGTCCTCCGCAGGACGGCGCCCTTCCCTGTGAGTGGGCTCAAGGCGGGCCTGAGCTGGCCGGTGACCAGGAGGTGCAGTAGAGCCTGAGCCGGGCTTCCTCCCGCAGGGTGGGAAATGGCCCCCAGGGGGCACGTCTCCCCGGAGAACAGGGTGCCAGCACGCTTCCATCAGTGGCCAGGAAAGGGTGACCAGGGCCTTCAAAAGCAGAGGAGGGAAGAGCAGGTGGTGGAACTGAGCCTGTGGGGAACGATCTCAGGTAAACCTCTGAGCCCTTCCAGGAAGTAGGGGCGGTCAGGGCTGGGCAGGAGGGAGGCGGGAGGGGTTCTAGATGACACCACCTCCTTCCACTACTGGTGGGCAGGGATGGCTCGGGCTCAGCTGCCCCACAGGGGCCACTGTGAGAACCGGGTCAGGCCCTCGCTCTCGCCGCATCTGCTCACACACTGCGGTCTGATCATCGGATTCGTCCATCAGTGTCTCTAGCAGCGTGTGAAGGACATGGCATTCAGGCGGGACTGAGTGATCTTTCTCGAATGAATTAGCCAGGACACCCACCCAAGGAGAGAAACCACACTAGTTCTTTGTATATAAGAAAAAGACAAAAAACTTCAATTAAAAAACAAACAGGGCCGGAGCCAGCAGATGGCATGGTGGTTAAGGGTGCTGGATTCCCACATGGTCAACTTGGTTCGAGTCTCGGACCTGGCAGCTTGCCTTCTCACTGTCCCTGCTCCTCACTCTGCCCTTTACTGGTCATATTAAAATGAATAAATAAAATAAAGTTAAATAAAATAATTCTTAAAAAAAAAAAAAAACCAACAAGGCCAGCAGATGATTAAAGAGTGGTGATCAAGGTGCTGGATCCTACAATACACAGTCGTCTGCAGTGTGAGTTCCAGCCTTGCAGAGGGCATGTGCGTGCCTGCCCCAAATTATGAGGTAGGGGGCGAGAGGGGGGGGGGGGGGCGTGCTTCCTCACTTTCTCTCTGGTGAGTACACATGCCTTTTAAAAACAAAAACAAAAGAAACTAAAACATGAAAAAGTATCTCTTTTCTAAGACCCAGAGGTTTATGGCATAAATAAAGTGGGGGAAGAAAGGGTCTCCCAGCGGCCCGGCTCAATGCTGAGCGCTCGCAGAGGGTGGAGCTCCTAGGCAGAGACCCTGGACCTCCCACCGCTGCAGCAGCTCGGGCTGCAGGACAGGTGCTGCTTTTGCCTTTAAGACCTTTCAGCTCCTGGGTGTGAGTGCCTGGCAGGGAGGGGGGCAGGCCCAGCTCTATGAGGGCAAGAAGGGTGGCCCTATTCTTTTTTATTTTAAAGAGAGATTTTTTTTGTCATAGGGTGTGTCAAAAAGACACACATTTGTCAAAAAGAGAGAGACAGAGACAGAAAGCGAGAAGTCACCCCCTGGGGGGATGGCCACACCGCAATCCCTTCTCCTCCGTTCTCCTCTCAGGATCTTGGGCACACACGCACACGCATCCGGCGTGAGTTTAAGCCACTGGGTCTGGGACTCAAACCGTGGTCAACTACGTGGGAGTCCAGCAACATAGTCATTACACCATCTGCTGGTCCCGAGGGTGGCCCCATTCTAAGGACTGGCTGTAGCTTGCAACTCAGTGAGCACGCTGCCTGGCAGAGGCCATTAGTCAGGGCTGAGGGAATGGAGGGGGAGAGGTGGTCTAGTCTGGGCCCCTGAGGGGTTCCCCCTGCCCAGTAAAGAGTCTGTGTGAGGGGCAGCACCAGCCCCCACCCCAGCTGACGGGGCATCGGGCCCTGCCGGCCACCCATCAGGACCGCGGGTGAGTCTCTGTCCTCGCAGGCTTGGCTCTGAAGTTTCCTTGGTGGCAGTTAGGGAAAAGGGGCCCTGCTTGGCCTTCTTTCTATCCTGGTCTCCTCTGGGTCCCCTCAGAACCTTCCTCCACTGGAGTCGCCTCCCCGCCAGCCACCTCACCACACCCCACACCCCTGCTCTGGGCCCGTGTCCGCGGCTCTCCCGGCTTCTGCTGAAGCCGGAGCTGGGCTGTGTCTACCTTTGAGAGACGGGAAAAGGAGGCAGCACGTGTGTCCCCGCGGAGGGACAGCCGCTGTCTGCACCCTGTGCAACTGGTCATCTGTCACTCTGGGTGTAAGTCCAGCAGCTGGCGCCAGCGGAGGGGGTATACCTGTGGGGAAGAGAGGGTGGAGGCGGTGGACCCCACACTGGGGCTGGGGTGTCCTGGCTGCCACCTATGAAGGGCCTGCCAGCCGTCAGGAGGGTTCCCAGACCACTGCCGCCGCCCCCACAGCACCAGCCCCCGCTCGGAGCCGAAAGGCCGCTTCCCAGCCCTTCCTTCACCAGGAGCCACAGCGTCCGGACCCCAGGACCCGGTACGTCTGGGGCTGCCCGCCGCTCTAGAATTCGGAAAACAGACTCCTTTTCGAAGCCGCCATGATTTTTCTTGGCTTTTATTAGCATGTGTTAAAATCATATTATTCCAAACACTACCAGAAGAACATGTATTGTTCTGAATAAAGTGCTTAAGGAAAAAAAATGCAACTTATTATAAATCGGACATTCTTTTCTAGTTCATAAGTTTTGGGTTACAATCAGGGCACAAAGGAGAAACAGAATGCAGGATTAGAGGGCGAGAAGCTGGGTGGGGAGCCGGGCGCCGACACGGGCCACGATCCGGTCTCCCCACTTCCTGGCGGACTGAACACTGCCCCTGCGCGAAGCAGCAGCCGCCCCCCTCCATTCAAATCGCAGCGTTCGCCATCACAAAGCACTTTTTATTTGACCCTCTGTTTACACCTACAGGCAGGACTTATCCACAGAGCTCAAGCGTGAGCGTGTTACTCCGCTGGGCCTTCGGCTTTCTAATGCTACTCGGGTTCGAGATTGTCTTGGCAATTCATTCGTTTCTATCTACTTGGTAACTTTTAATACTAATTCTGTAGTGTTTTGTGTTACAAATGCCAGCCAAAGGTATTTTCTCAGTACTATAAATGACAACGAGTGGGCCTCAGTAAGGCTTTATTTCCAATCAACTTGGTTTTCTCATATTAGCACTCTGCTCTCTGCACAAAACCCAAGGCCTTGTGATAGACTTTAAAGTCCATGATGTTCTGAAGAAATAAAAACTTGGGAATCTCTGTGTCTGATCGTGGGTGGTCATGTTGAGAACAGAAAAAAAATTGCATTAAACACATTTTTAAAACATTCATCTGCAACCGGACATATTGAAGTCTTCCGAGGAAGGTGCAGTCGGTGGCAGGGCCACTACGACGCGAGCAACCCAGTCAGGACTGGCTGGGGGGTGGGCCCGAGACCCCCTCGGAGGCAGACACTCACCTCCAGCTTCGGGACTCCAGGCCTTCGTTAGCAAAGACAAAAGATCGGTTCACCTTGGCACAGGCCAGGGCGGCCGCTGGAGTGCACCCTGACTCTGAGGCCGGAGCAGGTGCCACGCTAGGAGCTGTGGAAGGACTAAGCAGTGCTCTGGAAAAACAAGCCACCTCTGCTCAGCCCAGGGAGAACACCCTCCCTCCTCTCACCCTGAGAGCTCTGCGCTGCATGCAGGACCGTATCTCAGCTGCACCTGTCACCATGGTGTCCACTTCATGTCACAAGAGCACGCCCGCTAGCCATCCTGAGCGACCAGTGTAGAATGTGTTGAGTGCAGCCCAGAGAGAGACAGCTTTCTAAACTAGCTCGTCCTTCGCTCCTCTCTGCAGACGTGTCTGTAGAACATTCTTCCGTTTCACAGTGATGTGTGCTGTTGCAGGGAGCGCGAGGTGATCTGACTCTGTTTCCAGGAAGCGGTTTGAGCGTAAGTTTCCACAACTGGTTCTAAGCCCTGCAGGGGCTGCCGCACCGCTGACAGGGAGCAGGAAGGCTGGGAGGCCCTTGGTCCCTGCCTCCTGTCCAGGGTAGCCCACCGCGGTCATGGCTGGGTTTTCGCTATCAGTAGTTCTATTGCCCTGTGACAGTTTAAGAAGCCTACGGCAAATGCCACCTCATTTCACTCCACCCTGTCCATCTGACTGGAAGCCTGAGAACTCACTGCATGAGGCTGGGAAAAAAGGCTCGGTACCCGCTGAGTTGACGGCAGTAAGATGCTAGCTTACTGTTCTGCACAGCACCATGTAGCGTGCCTGTTATTCAGGCCAACTAGAGCCAACTTTTTCTTTTTTTTTTTTCTTTTTTTTTTATATATATATTTTTTTATAAAGAAAATCTATGTAAGATGAGGTTCAGAAATGCATATATTTTTTACTTACAAATATTCATCTGACCAAAATTCAACATAACCTTTATGGAACACTTAACAATTGTTTTGTTTTTAAAATAACATTTCATTCAAACTGTATATAATTCAGTAAAGTTTTTTATACAGCAAGCAATGCTTAAACCCTGGAAAATCTGTAGAAAAGAGATTTTCACACAAAATAAGAAAAGAAAAGTCTGAGGTATCCCTCACACACACATTCATTCATTCTGGCCCACGTGTGCACGCACACACACACACGCGCACACACACACACACACATGCCCGTGTGCTCACACAGACACGTTCATCCTCACTCACAAAGTGGCTGCAGCATAGGCAAAAAATTGTAGGTCCAAAGGAAAATGATTGATTGTTCTAATAAAAGAGTCCAGGTAGCTCAGAAAACAAAACAAAACAAAACAAAACACAATAGTCCTCTGAGGAAATTACTACCTCAAAAAATGTTCTCAAGATGAATTTGAGATCTAAGCCTACTAATTGCTTTTGCAAAACAGCTCCCTGCAGTCCAAGGTGACTTGTGCAAATAGAATCAAATGAGGCTAGTTCCTGTCCTCCCTTAAACAGGACGTGGGTGCTCACGGTGTCCAGGGTGCTCCCGTCAGGCCAGGTACTGCTGCAGTGCGGTCTTCGCCCTGGAATCACAAAGTTCTGTTAGACACCGTCTCAGAACTGCCACGGAGGCAAACAGCCTGTGGTCAGTGTAGGGGAGGCCTACGATGGTGAAGTCCCAGCGGGCACTGGGCTGAGCCTGGCTGGGCAGTTCTGTGGTCAGCACACTGCGAGCCCACACGCCACGACCTCCCCTGTGCTTCTCGGGCTGCTCTCACTCTCACCTGCTGCAGCCCACAGTAGGCCACGTTCCGCACAGGTCCTGACATCCTGTGGGTTCCCTCTGTCACTGGCACACAGCTGGGATGGCTCTGTGACTCCGTCCTTTCCCTCACTGCCATGTAGGTTTTATGTGACAGTCATACTAGGAGAGGACACTTAGGGTCCTGGAAGCAAGGACGCTCACGGGGAAAGGGGCTGAGGTGCCAATGAGGAGGTGCACAGAGAGGACAGGGAGAGGCTGTCTCACGGTTTGAACAACTTGGAGTTGTGGAAGGAGGTCACAATTTCACCTTGTTCTTTTAAGTACGCCTCACGACCAGTGCCGACTAGTGGGGTGGAGTGTGGGCTGTTGACGGTGACTGAGGAAGGAAGTGGCCAGGTGGACTGGAAAAGGCGCAGTGTGCACAGTGACAAGCCATCCTGATTCTGGGAGACCTGTCCTGAGCCGGGCTGAGGCCTCCTTTACTACTCCCGTCACGGCCTGTGAAGTCCCATAGGCTGCCATGGCAGGAGTTAGGAAGGCAGAGTTTGCAAGTCTCTCCTAAGCAACGGGGAGGGAAGGCTAGGATTTCCCGTCACCATTCGCGGGGAAGCAGTACCAGGTCAACCAGCGATGACCTAAGTGGGACTGAAGTGGTTCCTACAGTGAGGAAATGGCCATCGCCCACAGCTTGTCGACTGGTCTACCAAGGCGGATTCCTGCGATTATGTAGGACTATACAGATGGCAGCTGTGAAGACTCCAGGCCACCACATAAAGTCACAGAGCTGGACAGAACGAAGCTGACTGGACTGTCCCCAAAGTATGAGTGAGCTGGGCTTTTCAAGGACATGTGCAGAAACAGGTTCATCAGTAATGCCATGGGCTCCTCCCTTCGCAGCCATCCACCTGACCCCCCAAGTCCATAACGAAGCTGAGAAGAGTAGTTCTGAGGGAGCGGGCTGGTCAGCAATAGCTCCTCATCTGTGAGTGGTGGAGAGTCCAAGGGTCACAAAGCCTCGAGGACAGAAGGAACCTGAGAGGTGTCTTCAGGTGATAGACTTTGCTGTGCCACGCAGGGAATGCTCACGTGACTGCGATCCTGGGTTACTCTCTGGAAAACTGCCGATTCAAATTCCTTCTGGATCTTACTCAGAGGTTGTTTACCCTTGACCATCTGAGCCTCAGAGACTGCTCCCTTACTATCGTCAGGTGGCCCTTTCGGAGGCAAGGTCACCTTTTGTCGGAGGGACTCAGGCTGGGCGGCTCAGACCTTGGTTCTTCTAATGGCGGCCGAGGTCTAAGAGGTGCTGGAAACTGGTGTGTGGCACCATCAGGGGACAGCACCGCTGGTCTAACCTGTGCAGGCCACGCCAAACCTTCCCGACTTCGTGCTCGGGAGCCGCACTTAGCACTCGAATCATCCTGAAGACAATTTTAAGTAGAACTGTTCTCACTTCTGAATAAATATACAGAAAACCCCGAGTGACAGTGAACGGCCTGGCTTGCAGCCAGAAAAGAGAGATCAACAGAGCCCATCATTCAAGACAGCAGCTGTGCGTGTGTGTGTGTGTGTGTGCGTGTGCGTGTGTGTGTGTGTGTGCGCGTGTGTGTGTGTGTGTGTGTGCGTGTGTGTGTGTGTGCGTGTGTGTAGGGCAGAGGTCCTAATCCCCGGTATAAGCTGAACTCCAGCCTCCAGGGGCAAGTGGTCTTCACTTGCCTTTGATGTCACGCTCGTCTGGCCAGCAGCCCTGGCCTGCAATCACTCAGGATTCACCCGCGGGAAGGTGGAGGTCCAGCTGTTCTGGGAACTCCAGTCTAGGACAGCTGTTCGCGTGAGGGACGGTGACTACGCGCCTCTTCCCTTCAGTGGCGAAGACAGACCAGCTGACATCCAAGATAGTGTAACTGTGTTTTACGGGTGCACTGGCAGCACAGAAAGGCTCCTGAGCAAAGCTTCAGGGGGAGGTGGGGAGTGGGTCAGGCACGGATTTGGGGGAGGCGACGACCCGAGTGCTGAAGGGTGAGCAGCCGCGTCCAGGCATTCCGTTCTTGCTTTCAGGACGCCGGCTCTTCAGGACCTGGCTCCTTCCACCAATCGCTCTGCTCCTTGCGACTTCCCCTGCCCCACTGGTCTTGCTGTTTCTGGAACATGCCAAGCTCACGCCTGCCTGTGGCCTTTTTTTTCTTTTCTTTTTTTTTTTTTTCGAGAAGTTTTCGCTATAGGGGGTGTGCGCTCGCCAGACAGACAGAAAGAGACATAGAGATAGAAAGCGAGAAGTCCCCCCCCGGGGGAATGGTCACGCCGCAATCCCTTCTCCTCCATTCTCCTCTCAGGATCTTGGGCCCGCACGCACATGCGCCCGGCGTAGTTCGAAGCCATCGGGTCCGGGACGCGAACCGCAGTCAACTACGTGGGAGTCCAGCGACATAGCCATTACGCTAACTGCTCGTTCCCTGCCTGTGGTCTTTTAACTCACAGCCTGGAAGTCCCCTCTAACCATGTGCCTCGCAGACCCCTTCATTTCACCCAGGGCTCTGATCGAAGGCCACAGCCTCGAAGAGGCCCTTGCTGATTTACCGACGGGAAAAGAAACTTCCTTTACTCTCCACCACTCACCTCGCTTAGTTTTTCTCCCTGGCACCTCTCATGACCTTATATTGTATTATATATTCATTTCTTTACTGTCTGTCTTCTGTACCATTTTTATTTATTTTATTTCATTATATCTCCAACGTCTAAAACAGTGCCTGGCAGAGGGGAGGTGTTAAAATAAATATCTGCTCTGAATGGCGACTCCGAGGAGAGGTCACCGGGACGGCAGGGCAGACAGAAGAGAACGTGAGTGCATGACGGTGTCACAGCGCAGTGGAGCAGAGACGGTCGGGGTGCAGGGTGGGCACGGAGGAGTGGGGCCTGAGACGGGCATCGCCGGATCGCGAAGGGCTGAGGGTTTGGAGCCATGCTCGGGGCTGGGGCAGAGCTGAAGTCCCCCGGGGTCACACGCAAAGCGAGCTGGACGGAGCAAGCTGCTACAAGCCAGAGCACACAGCTGGCAACATGCCAACTGTCCAGGCTGTGGGCCTCTGACTGCGACCCCCCTGACACGGCGGGCTCTTTCTGGCAGGGCCCTTGCTGGTCACTGAAACAGCCCCGTAGCCAAGCCAGGCTGGCACGAGGCAGGCACCCGTGAGGTTTTGCCCTAATAGATGCTTTCATTACTGGTCATTCTGCTGTCCCAAAGGCCACATTCCAGTCATTCTAGTGATCAATGGAAGTAAGGGAGTAGCCTGAGTGCCACCCGGATACCAGACAGACCAACTCGCGTTCATTCAGAGTACGATCCACGTCTAATAACTGCTGTTAGCTTATATCTCACTTAAACGTCACACACTTTTCTGGAAAAGGAAATTTAAGAACCTGAAAGATTTGAAGAGTTTGGGCTGGCCTCAGAGCACAGTGGACAAGCCCTGAGCATAGGGACCCAGATCCCGCATAGCCAACTCCTGTTCAAATGCCAGCCGGTGGCTTGAAAAACACGCTGCTCACAGGTGTGTGCGTGCCCCAAATCTGGACGGCATGGAGAAATGGAGGAGAGAGAATTGTGGGGTGACCATGCCCCACTGGAGCGTCCTTTCTCTCTAGCCCCCACGAGCTCGCATGCCCTCTGGCAATTTCTAAAAATCTGAGAAGTTCAGCTCTGTGATTACTAAGCAATTCAAACCTTTTCAAAAAAGAATCCGACACGGCCAAGCAAGGCCCTTTCACATCGATACTCACTTGTCACAAAGGTTGGAGTCCGGGGATTGACTCAGCTTATGTAGAATATCTACGATGCCCATGTCTCGTAATTTATCTTGGCGTTCTTGTGAACCTGAAGGATGAAAGCTAGCAGGTTACTGGGGACAGGACCCAGGCAGCTGCTCTTTCTGATGAGCCTTCCCGGGTGCACTCTCCTCCACGCCTGTCCCCCCTCGCCCTCCCCAGTGAGGCTGACTGGCTTATGCTGGCCTCTCTGCTACCCTGTAACTGCCCTGTTTCCCTCCTGACCGTCCTTCCTGCTGTCCACCCTGCATTCTGCTGCTGAGCTAAATTCTTTAGCACTACGGGGTCGAGACCAGAGTTCTCAGCCTGGCACGAGGCCCTCTGTCATTCGGTCCTGGCCAGGCCAGGCCTTTTCTGCTCTAGACAAGTGTCGTTTCTCCCTTCTATGTCTTGTCCCCTCATCTGTCTTCCCAGACCTCCTGGCACCTCTGGGTTAGCACGACTGGTCGCCGCAATGTCAACTCAGACCTGGCTGAGGGTGGCTCTGCCTCCCTGCCACACAGCCGGGCGCGGTATCTGGGCCCGTGCAGTGCACCAGCTTCTCCTCTGTGCGCTTGTTCTTCATACAGCGCTGGGGGGAGTGACACCCCTAGGAGTCTTCCTTCCCCACTGAAGAACCCAGAGCGACTCACTTGTGCCATGCCCCTCTAGACCCAAAGAACCAGGATCCCTCGGGATGAAGTTAGGGAGCTGTTCCCGTGCAGTGAATCCAGTGCTCTGTATTACCCTGGTTATGCCATGGAATCACCTGGAAGTTCTTTTTATTTTTATTTTTTAACATGCTATGGATTGTTTTTTTAATACATTTATTTTATTCTTATTATTTTTATACATTCAATTGCTATACATCATTTAGACTTGCAGAGAGAACTGACCCAAGAAGAACTACACTTCAGACCAGTCTGGTTGAGAATACTACGCGTTATCATCAACAGGTAATGAGCCATTTCTGTGTCCCACCAACGTCTTACTTCTCTATTTTTCTCCCTAATTTCCTTCCCTAGACTCTTCCTCTCTCCGGCCCTCCTTCCACACTGACTGCGGCGTCCATAACTATTTCCAATGCTTTTATGCCCTGCAATCACCTGGGAGCTCTTAGAGACACGTGTACCAGGGCCTACCTCTCCGATTTCTGGGAACCCTCCGGCGACTCTAACATGCAGTCAAGCTGGAGAGCCTCTGGTCTATAGCAGCCTCGCTACAGAACGGCTG